TTGTATTGCTTTTTAAAAACTATACTAATAGCAAATACACTTTTTTTTTTTTTTGTTTTTTTTTTTTTTCGTGACCGGCAACGGATCGCAACCCTCAGTGTCGCGCCCGTACCAGACTGGGACCGGCAACGGGATCGCAACCCTCGGTGTTGTCCCCGCTCCTTGCTCAGCCAGTGAGCGGCCGGTCTGTACGTGGGATCCGAACCCTTGGCGGGAGCGCCGTCGCGCTTCCCAAGCGGCGCACTGTAGCAGTGCGCCACCGGGCCGGCCCCTACTTTGTTTTAATGCAGGGTGATTTCAAAATGTTTTATAAAAATTGTGCAATTGGTGACATATAAGCATAATTTAAAATTTAGCCCATAGTAATATTCAGATCAACTAGGTCATCCTATAGTTGCTATCAAATATTTGGCTGTGAAGAAAAGTTTCCTGAGGTGTATATTGTTATATTGGAATAAAAACATGATGATGCACAATAGAAAAGCTTTAAAAGACCAGTTTTTGAAAAGTTGAAACTTACTTATAAATAGTACTGAAGCAACTATCGTTTAAGATTGTAGTGGAGAGGACAGATTTCTTTTTTCCCCCCCAGAGCCTTAGAATAATTTATGTCATTTAGAACCACCTTATACCATGCTAGGCACAGCAGTTACCCATCATGATATGACACAGGATTTGATTAATGTGACTGATTCATATTTACAGTTTGGTTTTCTTTTTCTTTTTCTTTTTTTTTTTTTTGTCCTTTTTGAGACCGGCCGCACCGCGCTCAGCCAGTGAGCGCTGTGAGCAAACCGGTCATCCCTATATAGGATCCGAACCCGCGGCGGGAGCGCTGCTGCACTCCCAGTGCCGCACTCTCCCGAGTGCGCCACGGGCTCGGCCCGAAGTTTGGTTTTCTTGACCTAACCATTATACTTAGTAATGATCTAATCTTTATAGGGTACTCGACATTGTTAGTGTATGATACTAATAATGATTTCAAAAAAAAAAAAAAACAACTTAGAGTTTTTATATCCAAACGAATATTGAACTTTTGAGTTTTGTTAGCTGGGAAGGCTTCTACATTTATTCCAATGATTTGCAAATGTTTGAGTTTTGCTGCTTCCCTTTTAGAATTGCCTTTAAAGCCTTAGCAATATTCCTGTCACTACACTGCAAGTATAACATTTCTATTCTCTGAGGGTGACTTTCAGGAGATAGCTATCACTCAAAACTTTCAGACTGAGTATCTAAAGAGCAATGTATAGCTCTGAAGTAATGAGACGTTGTGTTAATGGCTTGTAAAAACTGGCTCCAATAGTACTTTCCAAAATAGCTTTGAACTGGCATTACTGAAATAAATGTGCCCCCTTTGAAGGTGACTTTAAAAAACATTTATTTGATGTGGAAGTTCAGGTTCATATACTTAAAAGTTCATCATCTTTACCTCATATTTACATTATTGTGCCTAGGCAGGTAAATGAATAACAGGGATATTGAGAAGCTGTTTTATGACACCAGTGGGAGCAGGTAAAAATCTACTGAGATAGTCTAGCGTTATAATTATAGGCTTCTAAGAGTAGGAGAAAATTATCCTAAAGGTTTCAGGGATTTCCTGTGTGTTCCTTTGGGCTCGCCAAATTTGAAAAGGGAATTTATAGTCAAATCTCTTAGGATACATATTTATTTATATACATATATAACTTTATATACATATTTTGTATTTTTCCAATTGTAAACATTTAAGAATCATAAAAACAGATGAGAAAAGAGCTATTTATAATCACATGTATCAGAGAAATCCTCATTGACCTTGTTAACTTCCTTTCTTCTATGTATTGTTTTATAATGCTGAGATGATAATAAACTTAATTTTGAATATTGATTTTTAAAATTTATTTTATCATAGTTATTTTCTTAAGGCAATAAAACATTTCTTCATGAACAAAATAGTGACAATCTTTTAGTTTTTCATTATCCATCTCCATATGGTTTATAAAGTTTACTGTTAAACTATTTAAACTTTATTATTGAAGAAATAATAAAAAACTTACATTTCTTCTTTCATATTCATGGTATCAAAAGTATCAGAAAAGAAATTATGAGGCAAAGACCCAGAAGGCATTTGATGGGATTATACTTTCTTAGTTCCACAGGCTTCACTTATTTATTATTTGTAAGTGTTCTCTTTGCTAATATGCAGCTATTGTCACTTTCCTATTCACAGAACTAAGAGAAAAAAATTACTTCTTCTCTTTCTTGCTGAAGGTGGTTGGAGGCAAAGTAAAGAAGCCCGGTAAACGTGGTCGGAAGCCAGCCAAAATTGACTTGAAAGCAAAACTTGAGAGGAGCCGGCAGAGTGCAAGAGAATGCCGGGCCAGAAAAAAGTTGAGATATCAGTATTTGGAAGAGTTGGTATCCAGTCGAGAAAGAGCTATATGTGCCCTCAGAGAGGAACTGGAAATGGTAAGAATGTCTGTCATGAAAAAATCAACCTCAACTTACCAATCACAGAAATATACATTAAAACATGCGATACTGGTTTTCACTTATCCAGTTGGCAAACATTATAAAGAATATTAATCTGTTAGCCAGGATTTAGGCAAATAGGCATTTTCATACACTGCTGTGGGAGTAGAGAATGTACATGACTATTTTATTGAGGGATTGTTTATGATAGAAAAAGATGGAAAACAACCCAGATGTGCACCAAAATGGAATTGGTTAAATAAATTATATTACTTTCATATATTAGACTGTTTTGTAGCCAGTAGAAATAATAGTGCACATATATATTTACTGATGTAGCAGGATATTCGCAATGTATTGCTAAGTGGAAAAAGTAATATAACAATGTATAACCATGTGTATCTGATACCATTTGTCTTTAAACGGATTTATTTATTTTACATGTTTTATTCATTCATTCAGACCTTGGGTGGTGGCTGTAGAAATGTAAAACAGAGTAGATAAAGCAGAATTGAAACCCCATTACTGTGAACTCAGGAAGAGTTGACAGGTAAGAGGAGAAATGGTATTACCATGATCATTACAAAACTAGGACGGGCCACCATAGTTTTTAAAAAGTAAGAAAATAAGGTTGAGGCACGAAGGGACATGAATAGTGTATATATTATAGAAGAAATAATACTGCGACAATTATAAAAAAGAGATGAATTCTAATTAGTGGCATACTGTGGGGAGATGTTCTTTTAACCAGAGGAGCCTTTTTAATTTGAGCAACACTACAGTACTTCACAAGCAGATTCAGCAGAAGTTTCTCCACTGAGATATGACAGATATCATACATGTCCTAGGTTTAAATAGTTAACACCATGGAGAGTGGAATTTCCAGCAGCCAACTTGACCTCTAGTCATGAGATTTCTTATGTCTGGGATTTCTACCCACGATTCTTGAACTCTGATTAGTAAAAGTATACTCAAATGTATTTTACATATTTCAGTACAAGCAGTGGTGCATGGCAATGGACCAAGGAAAAATCCCTTCTGAAATAAAGGCCCTACTCACTGGAGAAGAGCAGAGCAAATCTCAGCAGAACTCAAGCAGGCACACCAAGGCGGGGAAGACAGATGCTAATAGCAATTCCTGTGAGTACAAACCATGGGAGAATTTATATTTAAAGGAGTATCTCAAGGTAGGGTTTCTGTTGACCACTTTCCTTAGTATGTCTTTAAATAGAATAAAATGTTGATGTCATTTGTAACACACTAATAAGCTATTGAAATGGCATTAGATTCTAAATATTGAAATGCGTTTTACATGGGGTCTATAAAGAGCAACTGATAAATTTATGGGCATTTTTTATTAAGTAGACTTAGTCCATCAATGGGATTAGTACTAATCTAGTTATTAACAGTACTACCTTATATTTGTATTGTGATTTATAGCTTACAAAGTACTTTCATTTATATTTATCTTAAATGTTTCTTCCAGTCATTGTGTTAAGCAGTTATATATCTTATTTTACAGGAAAAGAAATAGAACAACTGGGTAAGATGCCCATGGTCACACAGCTGTAATGGTAGAACCCGTCCTCACTAGTCCAGGCTCTCTCTAGTATAGTAGCCCATCACTGTAAGGATTATTTTTTAAATGAGGTGAAATGCATATAACATAACATTAACTATTTTAAAGTAACAATTCAGAGGCATTTAGTACATTCACAATGTTGTACGACTACCACGTCTATCTAGTTACAAAACATTTAATCACCCCAAAAGAAAACCCTAAACTCATTAAGCAGTTTTTTCCCATCAACCCTCTCCCCGCAGCCCCTGGCAACCATGAATCCGCTTTCTGTCTGTATGGATTTACCTATTCTAGATATTTCATATTAATGGAATCCTGCAATATGTAACTGTCTGGCTTCTTTCACCTAGCATGTTTTCAGTGTTCATCCACATCGTAGTGTATATCAGTATTTCATTCCTTTTTATGGCCAAATAATATTTCTATGTAAATGTATACCACAGTTGTTTATCCATTCATCTGTAGACATTTGTTTCTACCTTTTGGCTTTTGTGAATAGTGCTGCTATGAGTATGCATGAATGAGTACTTGTTTGCATACCTGTTTTTTACTTTGGGTATATATCTAGGAATCAAATTGCTGGTCATATGGTAATTCTATGTTTAACTTTTTGAGGAACTGCCAAAATGTTTTCAACAGCAGCTGAAATATTTTACATTCTCACCAGCAATATATGAGTGTTCTAATTTCTCCACATCTTGCAATGCTAGTTATTTTACATTTTTTTAAACTATAACTATCCTAGTGGGTGTGAAGTGGTATCTCATTGTGCTTTTGATTTGCATTCCCCTAATAAGTAATAATGTCAAGCATCTTTTCATGTGCTTGTTGGCCATTTGTATATCTTCTTCTGAGAAATGTCTAAGTCACTTGTCCATGTTTTACTTGGGTTGTTTTTCATTTTCTTATTGAGTTGTAAGAGTTCTTTATTTATTTTGGACACTGGACCTTTATCAGATTCATGATTTTCTCCCATTCTGTAGGCTCTGAAAGTCTTTTCGCTTTCTTGATAGTGTCCTTGGATACACAAAAGATTTTAATTTTAGGACTGCCCGGTTATCAGTTGGTTAGAGCACAGTGTTATAACACCAAGGTCAAGGGTTCAGATCCCCATACCAGCCAGCTGCCCCCCTACAAAAACTTTTTTTTTAATGAAGTCCAATTAATTTTTTTCTTTTGGTGCTCATGCTCTTGGTCATATCTAAGATTCCATCGTCAAATCCAAGTTCATGAAGATTTACCCCTGTGGTTTCTTCTAAGAATTTTATGGTTTTAGTTCTTTTATTTTGGTTGTTGACCCATTTTGAGTTAATTTTTCTATATAATGTGAGGTAGAAGTCCATGTGTTGCACGTGGGTGTCCAGTTGTCTCAGCACCATTTGTTGAAAAGGCTAAAGATTTTAGAATGAAGATGTCAATGTTGATTTCTTCATTATTGTGATTACTCTGGGAGCACTTGAAATAGTTATAAGGAAATGTTATAAACATTATATCTTTTAAATATTTTTTATAAAATTGAAGAAATTGGTTTTTTGATAACTTTTATTAGATGAGGTAACATTTGCCTTAATCTAAATTGAATTAATGAAAAAAGCCAAATCAACTAATTTTTCTTTCAGTCTGTATTTAAAAAAAAAAAACATACTAAATGGGGAAAAAATTGTACATTTTAAAACAGATTAATCAAACTTTGTTGACTTAAACATTCTTACATTGGTAACATTGGTTTATTTTTCAGGGTGAAGATCATATAAAATGATGTCAGTGATTGAAGCCAATATTCTGATTTCCGTGGAGGATGAATCAGCAAGAATGTACTTCTTTGGCTCCATTTACTACCTACTGCTCAGTAGTCATCTCTGTAAATCTGCAGTTTCTTTCAAAATGTGTGATCATAGATCTCAAAGGATCTTGCTTTAACTTTCAACAGTTAGAAAATTTACAGATATTCAGACCTGTTCTGGTTGGTATTGCCATTCGTGACATTTAATGTGTTATGATGCTTGAAAACACAAGAGTAGAGAAAAATGGGTGAAGATTGTATTTTTGCACCTTATCTCCACATTGCTTTATTGGTTAATTTATATTCTTTCCCTGTAATTCATGTGTATGTGTATGTGTATGTGTGTTTAGGTGTCACCTCCTTTCATGTTTTTGATTGCCCTACAAAGAGAAACCAAGTGGGTTGATTACTGACTCTTAAGTTCTCAGCCTTTATGGACCTAATCTTCTTTTATATTTACTTGAGTAATGTTTATTTTTCACATAAACCATGATTTCTCCTGTGAGCCATTCCAGCATAAGCTGTGAATATGTATTAACAAATATATACATTTCTATTTTTATAATCCATAGTGATATGCCTGTTTTAAATAATGTTCATATTAACAAAATCCAAGGGGAAAACCCTCAAGACAGCCTCTATTTAAAACCTTTGTTGCTGTCTTCTCAAGCTATATTTATAGAAGTTTGCTAGGGCCAAATCCATACTTGGAGAATAATTAGTCAAATTTTATTTTTAAGCAAGAAGTAACCTTTCAGGCATTTCAGCAGCATACATTATCTTGACAACCTAGAGTATGTATGTATATATGTGTTTCTATTGTATGTCTATATATGCACGTGGGAAGGACAGGAGTGAATGTTCACACACATTTTCTTGTGTACTCAACTAAGTTGGAGAATTTTTTTTAAGAGAACAGGATGAAACTAGCGGCTGAGATTGAGATCTAGAACAAAACAAAAGACACATTGCTGGTAGATATAATGGCTGTAGCCATAACCAGAACACTTAATTTCTTCCCTGACATGAATTTCCTTATGAATGTGTTCTGAGCCAGAAAGAAACACACGGTGGGCATGCATCTGGCTCAGCCCTGGCGGTGCTTCCACTGTGGAAAGCACAGGAGCTGGAGTTGTGCCCAGCACCATATCTAGTGGGCCTGGCAGATGTGGAAGGGCAGAGTAGTTCTCCCCAGTTCCCATCGTAGTTACGTTTACTTTTTCCTGACTACAAGATGGAGTGATGGTTGAGGAATCAAGCTCATAACATGACACACTCAGATAGACCTAGAATCTTTTGATTTCTCCAGTGAGACACTTTATCACTCTTTCTTCTCTTGCCCATAGTTAAATCAGGAGTATGTTCTCTTGTTGCTGCTAAATTATCATTGTTTGTCACTCTAGTGAAGCAAACGTTTGGCTTTCAAACAAAATATAGTTTGTTTTAAACTGGCAATTTAACAGGAGGCATCATAGTCTCAATTGTCTTCAAGGTGGAACATGAGATGGACCACATAGTTTAAGATTACAAGGTACTTTTCTCCCTTCTCTCAGGCCATGCATTCAAATAAAGTGCCTCCCTTCAGCCTGAGTTCCTAAAGACCTCTTGTGCTTAGGCTGCAAACCTGGATCTCTAGTCTACTCCAGTCTAGTTGTATGTGACTACTGATATACCACTAGCCCAGCTTGTTGGGTCTCTCTGTATTTTGGAAGATTGGGGGTTTAAGAATATTTAATGTCTTTTTAGGATTATAAATATATATAGACTAAGGACTGTTGATATTCAGGACTTCAGAATTTAAGTGTTTTAAATATAGTGTTCAGATTGTAATGGGTATGTTTTTGCCATCTGGCCTACTCAATTGTATATTTTTATTTTGCAAAACAACCCAAGACTGACTTTGTGTTGCTTTTGTTCAGTACCTTTAAAATTCCCCAGAAGAGTTGTTTTCAAAGCAAACATTCCAAAATGAATGTGGCCCATCAATGGAATGTCTCCATTGTGCTTCAAGTATTTCTTCTCTGGTTATAATTTTAAGTTACAAGGTCGTTTGTGCCTCCTCCCCTCCCCCCGTATCTTTACAAGAGCGGTGACTTTGTCCTCAGGTAGTGGATGTGTAATTTTGGGTGAAAGTAAATTACAATTTATTTGACTTTATTCCTAAACTTATCTACTTGGTATTTTGAATAGATCAAACCAAAAAAAAGTTCCTTGGTCTTAAAAAGAATGTTTTGATTGATTTGGGTATTGTGCTGGCTGCACGCTTTGGCCACTTCTAAGTATGTTAATAAATGTCACTGATTAAAACAGCTGGAGCATTTCCTTCCCCATTCCAGTTAAGGAGCAGCGAACTGAAGTAAGCAGGCATCTCTCACTTACTGTGACGGCAACAGCAAGGGTGAGAGAACTGGTGAGCTCAGGAGAGGCTGCTGTTCTTGTTCTCTGAGTAAATAGTAATGTTTTCTTTTTCTTTTTTTCCCAAAAAAGAAAAATAAAGGGGAAAATATACTTGTGTGTTTAGACCAGTCATATTCTGTCATTATTTTATCATCAACCTGCCATATATTAGAGCAACTGAATAAAACATGGAATAAGGTTGACTGGGTCAAGTTTTAGGATATAGTTGAAGTTCTTAAAATTTTTTTTGCTTTATTTAAAATCTTTCTATTATATCTAAGTCAGAACTATCTTACTGCAGCAAATTCATATCACTCTTTGCCAGCTAATTGACAGTATTTATCAGCATCACCATTTTAGCATTTTATTATCATCTTTGAATTATGATAGGTTTGATTTGGCTAATTACAGAAAGGACAGCTTTAAACTAGACTTACTTTTAGTTAAAATAAAGGCAAAGAATTAAAAAACAAATGCTGTATTTCATAAGAAATCAGTTACATATTATCACTTACATATTTAGCTTTTAAAAAGAGGAAGATTACTGTTAAACCACATGGTATTTGGGGGCATTGAAAAAGGAATTTTTCTTTCTCTGAAGAACATTGTACAATAGTATTTTTATGAAAAATAAAATATCTTCACCAGAGACACCTTAATTTGTCTGCTTCATAATACTGAAATATGTCTATATAAGCATAGAGTAGTAAAAAGAGTGTGAGATTTAGGAAGAACTGGTCTTGGTTCTGTTTTCTGAGTCACCTTGAATTATTTGCTCTCTCAGCCTGTTTTCTTATCTATAAAAAATGGGGAGAAGGAGCTGGGTGGTTGGCTCAGTTGTATAGAGCACGGCCTTGTAACACCAAGGCCAAGGGTTGGGTTCCCTGTACAGGCCGGCCAGCCAGCCACCAAAAAAACCAAAAACAAAAACAATAAAAGCTGAATAATACTTCAAAATTTCAAAAAAAAGGGGGAATATAACTTTCACTGAGTAATTGGTAGAATAAATAGGAGTTATGAGAAACTGCCTTTTAAATAGTAAAGAACTACATTAAATTTATTTATTTTTTATTATTTTATTATTATTTTTTTTCCTTTTTGTCTTTTTTTGTGACCGGCAACGGATCGCAACCCTCAGTGTCGCGCCCGTACCGGACCGGGACCGGCAACGGGATCGCAACCCTCGGTGTTGCGCCCACACCTTGCTCAGCCAGTGAGCGGCCCGTCTGTATGTGGGATCTGAACCCTCGGCAGGAGCGCCGCCGCGCTCCCAAGCGGCACACAGTAGCAGTGCGCCACCGGGCCGCCCCTACATTAAATTTAAATATTCACATTATATTTGTGTTTGACTATTGTTAAGATTTAAATCACAAAAGATAAATATATTTATTTAATGAGTTGGAATCTGCATATGTACTTGTAGGTATCACATTTCCCAAGTCTTTTTAGCTATATCATTATGTCTATCCTTGGAATGGTATAGTCGAAGGCTCTTTTTTAGCAATAATAGCCTTCTGTTAATTAGGCTAATCTTAAGAACAACTAATGTTCCAACTGGTAATATCATCCTATAATTATCTGCATAAAGCAGGTTTCCAGGCTGGGGGGTAACTTCGTTCTCTTTTCCCCTATTCCATCCATTTTACTTAACTACAGGGTGGTCATGAATTAGAGCCAGGACTGCCATGTAAGGTTGTGCTGATTGTGCACTGCACAGAGGCACCCCATTAAGGAGGCAAATGGGCCTAAAATCTAACTTACATTCCCCTCAACAAAGCTGTATGTGGAAGGAGGGGCATCTGCCATCTGCTCACCAAGGGGCACATGTGGTATGCTTTCTCCCAGAAGAGGTGCCTTTTTCTTTTCTTTTTTTTTTTTTTTTTGTCTTTTTCCGTGTCCGGCAACGGATCGCAACCCTCAGCGTCGCCCCCATACCAGACCGGGACTGGCAACGGGATCGCAGCCTTCAGTGTTGCTCCCGTGCCTTGCTCAGCCAGTGAGCGGGAACCGGTCTGTATGTGGGATCCGAACCCTCGGCGGGAGCCACCCAAGAGGTGCCACTGGGCCGGCCCAAGAGGTGCCTTTTTCTAATTTGCCCAAAGGGGGTAACTTTCTTTTTTTTTTATTTTTTAAAAAGATGACCAGTAAGGGGATCTTAACCCTTGACTTGGTGGTGTCAGCACCACGCTCTCCCAAGTGAGCTCACAAGCCATCCCTATATAAGGATCCAAACCCGTGGCCTTGGTGTTATCAGCATCACACTCTCCCGAGGGAGCCACGGGCTGGCCCTATAAAGGGGTAACTTTCTTAATTCCTCCACTCAGGGGTACATTTTTTTAAATGTGCAAAACAGTGGTTTGTTGCAGCTGCCTTTTGCTGAATCTCCTGAAGAAAGCCAATTGTGTGCGTGTCTTTTCAACTCCCCATTCAGTGACACCAGGTTGGTAGCTTTGGATTAGCAATGGTGGGAGTATTTGCACCTTTGAAATCAGTAAATGCTACAAATCTCAGGCTTTCCCCCAAGGAATCAGTTTCCTGGTGCTGATAAAACCAAGGCCACACACTTGGATCTCCATACTGGCCAGCTGCCATCTCCCCACCACCAAAAAAATGTTTCCAGTGCACCACTGAATGCGAGCATGGCCCTGACTAGAGCAGGCACATTTGGGGCTCAAAAAGTATATGATTAAAGGACACATGGAACAGGAAGAACTTTTTGTAAGGCTGTAGGTAGCCTGGAAATGTCCATTTCAGATTCAGATTAGTTCATAAGACAGATGGTAGTTGTGACTCAGAAACTGCTATGGGTTGCAGAGAAATACCCAGCCTGACTCTAGAAATTATAAGGAGGTAAATCAGACTTGTGGCCAAGATGGTGGAATAGATGTTCCCCAGCATCACACTCCCACAAATCAACCAATTTACAACTATAAAAAAGCTATGACAGCCAAGCTGGGGCTGCTAGAGCTCAGAGGAAGAGGAGGAGAGACCTACAGAGTGCATGAAGGTGGGAGAAGCCATGATGAGAGAAAGAAAAAACCCCTTGAACCATTACAAATCCCAGCTGCTTCCAGGCTGGAGCTGCTGAGCACAAGGAGCAGAGCTGGCAGCTGTGCCTTTCAGATGAAGTTGGAGGCAGCAGGGGAGAAGAGGGCCTTGGTGGCCCCAAAGCCAGCAATACCACTAATAAGGCTCCTGTGGACCCACGTAGGACTGAGAAACCACAAGAACTGAAAAAAAAGGAGCCATTCAGAGGCCAGTGAGTCATCACAAGGGTCTGGAGCACAGCCTGTCCCATGGAAAGTGTTTGGAGCACAGGTGGTGGGGGAGATGGGCCCACTGGGGGAACACTGGGGTACAGCAAGGACAGCTAATCTGTCCCCCAATCACCATAGGACCACTCAGAGGAGACTGGTCAGGAATATGGAATTGCATGGGGTGCAGTTTGATGAAAAGACTCAGGCTCAGACCAGTGTTTCTACACAACCCGGGTGCACCGGATTTCACTAGAACCGGAAGTACCTATAAAGTCAATCATTAAAACATGAGCTGCACAAAAAGCCTGCCCCAGGGAATCAGCAGCAAAGCAGCAATTCAGCTCAATCACACAGCTCAAGTACTGGTCCCTACAGGAAGTTCCCCCTTTTGAAGTAAGCAAAGGACAACAAATTAGTGCCAGTGCAGAGTTTGAGTGGTGGGAACAGCAAATAATCCAACACAGAACTGAAAGAAAAAACGAAGTACCCACAACCAGACACAAAGTTTAATATTAACTAGTAAAGGTCTCATTTCACCAAAGAATACCTATAACACCTAGAAGGACTGGAAGTCCCCTGGGCTACCAAGCCAGAAAGGGGGAAGGGCCAGGGGACTCAACCATGCCCCTTGATACCTGCAACCAGCCCTGGGGCTGGGAGCCATGGGCCCTGACAAGCACAACTACCCTAGGGGTGACCACTGAGCCGCCGCAGGAAGTGCCCTAGGCTCTCCTGAGCTGGGGTGGTGGGAGGCGAGGGCTTTGGCCACACTCCCATGACATCTGTACCCAGCCCAGCAATGACGAAGCCACCGCTAGAAGCCCCCCGGTCTCCCCTGTGGGAATGTGGGGGTGCCACAGGCCTCAATCCTGCCCCTCCTCTTTCATTCTTCTTCCATCCCATTTCTTTCCCCTTTCCCATCTCCCTCTCCCAACTGCTCTGCAACAACATCATAGAATGTAAAAAATATATTAATAAAATAAACTTTTAAAAAAAAAGGTAAATCAGATGAATTCTTAAAGCAAGCCCTGGGGTCAAAGTAGACCCAACTAATTCACTGAGTTTTGGATATTACCACTTCAGTGGAACAAAGACCATGCCTTTCAGCACCACAAGAACAGATGCTACAAGATCTGTGGCAATAAATAAGTAAATAAATAATGCCCCACTAAACCTGCCTCTTCTCAGGCCAGGACAGTCCTGGACCCCAGCTGCCACATAGGAAGAAGAGAGAGAGAGCATCAAAAAAAGAAAGGCAAAAAGAACCCCCTCCCCCACAAGGATGGCCAAGCCTTCTCCCAGAAAGAGAAGGAAGGAGAGGAAGAGAGTTCACACGGGCCAAACAGAAGATGAACGCTGGCGACGCTTCCTTCTTTGTGGGAGTAGGCGCATTTTACCACTCCAGACCAAAAAAGAAAATCCCACATGCCCATGAGCCTTTTTAACCAGGCAGAGTAAGAACTCCACCTAGCAGTAGGCAGTAAAATGTTTCTAAAGCTGAACTATGGTAGCATCACTCCTCCTCCTGAAGTGGGGCAGAGTGAAGGGGTCCAGCAGTGGCAGGGAGAAGGGAGCCCTGGGTACAAATAAGAAGTACACAAACTAGTGTAAGAAACAAACCACACCAAAGCTGAGCTCAGGAGATGACTCATTTAGGGGTACCCAGCTAGACATACTTGAAGTATGCGCCATGATGGTTCAAGAACGGGTGGGTAGCATATACAATGCAGATATGCTGGACAAAGGGATGATTCATGTCTGGTGCTGGACAGAGAGGGACAGCACGAGATTTCATCAAGCTACTCAGAATGGTGTGCAATTTAAAATGTATGAATTTATTTCTGGAATTTTCCATTTAATAATTTTGGAACACAATTGACCACAGGTAACTGAAACTGCAAAAGGTGAAACCATGAATAAGGGGGACTACTATAACTAGTTGTGTACTCATCAGTGTTTAAGAACTGACCTTTGGTTGGGGAAGGCCTGATTTATAGTAATTGCCAATGTCTGGGGTGCAAATATGTCTGCCATAGTTGATTTCAAGCTACTCTGTTGTCAACCAGCTCTCAAAATTTCTGAAAATTTAGGAATTGTCTCTTGCACGCATGTTTGAGCTGACTTCACACCACTGGATAAACTATATGGTATGAGATACACAACTAAAATTGACATAAACAATAAAAACATTGTTATCTCACATAATGAGTTTGAAAGCTACAAAGGCTCAACAATGTCAGTATCATTTGATTTCACTTACATTTCTAGTTATAGAGTAATTCACTTATGGTTTAACTGAAAATATACAATTGTTACATTTTTAGCTAGAATGGTAGCCTATAATTAACTAGGGCAAAGAGCAACTTAAGTTACATTTCACAGGTTTTTTCAT